GGCTCGGGGCTGGCGTTGAGGGGTGACACGGCCCTCGGGAACGCCCAGAGCCTTACGGGTGTCTGCGCTGTTCATAACTTAGTTGGTTTTTCCAGGATACTGAGGGAGAGGGAGAGGAGCGGTTGGAGATGCAGGCGGAGCTCTCCGTGGGCGATGGCCGCCGGGAGCTCTGCGCCATCTCATATACAGTTCAGTTCGTTTAGCGTCTGGTCCAGTGTCTGGTGCAACCCCAAGTTCTCCTCTTTGGCTTGAGCAAGTTTTTCTGGTGAGAAAGAAAAAAAAACAAGACTTCAACCACGCATTGTTTTACAGCCTTTTCTCGTTAAATAGACCCCACGATTTCTTACCTGCACACTCAGCACAACACTGTAACTGCATCCATAAAACGGGGCCAAATTTTTTGTAATTACTGTAATTTAGTGAGGCTTGTGGACACATTTTATGTGACAGACTTGAGTTTTGATTCAACGTGTGATTTACAGGACACGTCCTTCAGAGTTCTCGTTGTCCCGAGTTTTTAACCAGGCAGAGGGAGCACCGCGAGCACACACCAAACGCGCTCAGAGCTTTTTGCTGCCACACGTGTCCTTGGGAACACAAACATTGAGGCGTTTGCCCGTGCGCCGGGTCCTGCCCCTGCTGACTGCAGCTGCCGCGAGGAGCCGAACTTACCTTCGGTGTCATTGCGCGCGTATTTTAGGTGAACAGTAAGGAAGCAAACCCCAAAAGCTGACTGGCAGAGGTATCTGGGTTTTATTGAGCTCAGTTCCTACAGAGGTGGGAGGGTCGCTTGTGGAAGTTGCGTGGAAGGGACAGGAATTACAGGCAAGAAAAGCTCAAGAGCTGCAGCAGGTAGAGCGGCCCCCGCCCCCCGAGCGCGGCTCACAAGGAGGTCATGTCATTGAGAGCATGGTCAAGCTCCTCGCTGATCGCTTTGTACTTCAGCTTCTGAGCGTACAGCTCATCTGTCGGTGGCGAGGGCGGAAGGCACGGAGCAGCAAGAAATGCAGAGAAACAGTCCAGAGAAGAGGCGCACAGGAGGAGGCACGGAGACAGTCAGAAGGCAGCAGCCAAAGCAGTTCGGGAGGAAAACCAGAAGAAAACAGATGCATAACCAAGTCTCACATGAAAGCAAAAATTCCACGCAGCTGCCGGGTCAGAAGCTTTGTCTACATTTCCTTTTTTTTTAATCTCTCAAAGTTATTTTTTGGTAATCAGATTAAGTAGGGCTGCGACCTTGTTCTTAATAGAAAGGGCCCCTGGGCCCGTGTAGCTGTGAGTTGGCCAAAATCGGGTTATTTTACCAACTTTTTGGAGGAGAAACTCTTCCAGGAAAAACTTCCTCCGGCCAGGAGGTACCGCGCGGGACAGAGGTGCCGGTCCAGCAATACGCCCGACGAGCACTTCTGTCCCTTCCCAATGAAATCTAATACCCACTCCCAGAATTTTGTTTTCTGATTTGAAATTGACCACTTTTCAATGAAACTCAAGTAATTTCTTACCTTCCAGGTCATCAATAGACTTTTCCAGTTTGGCAACTGTTCTCTCTGCAAATTCCGCACGAGTTTCAGCCTAAAAAATAAAGAAATAGTGTAACTGGATGCTGTTAAAAAAATGATGCCAAAATTCCGTTTGGGGTTGGATAAACTTACTTCTTTGAGCTTGTCAGAGAGAATCTTGATTTCTTCTTCGTATTTATCTTCTTTTTCCGAGTACTGTGAAAACAATAAACACGCTTTAAGGGAAGTTGTAGCAACAATAATGTTTATGAAACCATGACCTCATATTTATAACGACTTCTTTCACAACAGCTGCAGACACCCTTTCCATACTCTTCTCCTCTTCCCTAAGACATTTCAGACTCTGGCTCCTAAACCATCACTTTAAGACTGGGGATGTCCAAGTTCCTTTGTGCGTCATCTTACACCTTAACGGGCTGATCTCGTGCAGCACAAAACCAGCTGAAGGTGCAGGGGAACGTGAGGCCTTCGTACCAGTTTGGACCAGCCAGAAACAACTGTTTAATGAGAGTTTTAACAATTTTCATCATTAAGAGGGCAAACCCCACAAACGGAGCAAGACGGAGAACGGAGAGCAGTCAGCAGCGCACCGCTGTGGGAAAGGGAGATTCCAGTCCCGGCTTGACGCAGGGCTGCAGATAGTTATCAGGTTCCTGACTTGGTTTGGGCAGAACTGATGCAGCCTCACCGACAGGCCCCGTTGAACAGGCAGTCAGCCAAACCCTTTCACCTCTCTCTGTTTCTGGATTATTTCTATGAATTTTACTTACAAGTTTTGACTTTGCCCCTAACCCCCAGTTTACTGAAAGAACCAACCTTTTCAGATTGAGCTTCCAAAGACTTCAGGTTGTTGGTGACGTTCTTTAACTCCTCTTCAAGGTCACTACATTTACTGCAGGGGAAAAAAGAGGATAAATTACTACTGTCCCTGTTATGACTTAATTTAATTTTCAAGCAGTCTAAAACTACAAGGGATGAAGTAATTGCAATTCAGTCTGAAAGAGCAAATTGGGTATACAGGGTACACAAAAGCTCTTCTACAGGTACTCCACGCCTGCCCACCAGTAGTAGAGTTTTCTAATGAAATACAGCTTTGACCTTCGCTGTGTTCGGAACAGCTCCCGTGTACATGAAGTTACTCACACTTCAGACACCTCTGCGCGCTCTTCAGCTCTTTCCAGTTCACCCTCCAAAATAACCAGTTTACGGGCAACCTGTAAAGAGACAATGGCTGTATCAAGCCAGTCTGCAGCTTCCTACACGTGTCTCCCCAAGGACTGCCCTCGTGCTTTCCTTCTGAACGGTGAGATTAGATTAAAACAGACACAACAGACTTTTTCCCCAAGTAAGTTAAGCGTTTGCAGGGGGTTGGCATGAAATGCCCAAGATGCTGCAAAGTCACTATTAAAATGACTCCTTTTTGGGAACGTTCCAAAGTCGAACCGTACAAAGAATGACCAAACTGAAGAGCAACAATGTTGTTCACGGTTCTCCCGTACGTTTAATCATTTCCTTATCCCTTTTACCTCTTCGTATTTGCGGTCAGCTTCCTCAGCAATATGCTTGGCCTCCTTCAGTTGCATTTCCTGAATCTCCATTTTCTCTTCATCTTTCATTGCTCTGTTCTCAATAACCTTCATTCCTCTGCAGAAGACAAAGCAAGTGTGTTTAATGTAGAAGCATTTCGCACTTTTGTCTCAAAGGTCCTAAGTGGAACTCGGCATTTGTAACCGCAGAGCGGCCCGTTGTGACCATACCCCTCCGTTCGTCAAGGCTAACAGAACGACCCCTTCAAGCTTCTAAAAAAGTTCAGCGTCTCTGACCTGCAATCCCCATTAGCACATTAAATGATACAGGAATATTTTATTCATATCTATTCCATTTTCTTACCCCAAAAAAAAGAAAAAAGGAAGGAAAAAAGGAAAGAAAAAAAAAAAGAAGAAAAGGGAACGC